CCTCACAATAAGGCCAAAGCAGGTAGCACACCCATCTACTGGAATTGCCAGGAGAGGTTTGCGGGCTGCTCGCATGTCCCGCTGTCAACTACCATGATGACCATAGACAAGGCTGTCTGCGGAAAAATGGGGTGGGGGTCTGGGTCGGATTTTGGCTTGCCAATGGGTATATTTAATATTGCCAAAACTCAATTTCTAATTAACTTGGAACAACATGTCTAATTCTACATTTAGTATTGCCAAGAGTAAATGTCAGATTCCCAAACTTGACTTAGAACTGCCAATTCTACATCTAGTATTGCCAATGCATACTTCCAGATTCCCAGATCTTGGGTGAAAAGCCCCAGGACAAAAAAAACAGACAAAAGCTTACCATTAAAGAGGCCCCCCAAGAGTCAGATCAGAGGTATTTTTTTGCCGTTGGACATCCTAGATCCATGGCATTGGCTATGCAAGGCTTAGGTACGCCACCCCTTGAAGGGAAAAGGCTATGACTTTGATCTGGAAATAGCGCTACCCCTGCAACAAAAACAGCTTGCAACTACAGAGAATCCCAAAACAGTAAGATTAAAGACGATCGCGGAATAAGTCGCACAGTCGGTTTTGTGAGGCAAACTATTACCATGATTCCACAGGAGTCCAGCTGCACCCAGGGTTCTGCTCGGGCTCTCCACCCCACAGTTTGTTCAGGTTCGGTGGCGCGGGATTCCTGACATGTCCCCTTACACCACCCAAAATGGGCCAAACAGGTAAATACACGCACACGGACCCCTACTTGGAAACCCCGGGCTCAAGTTCGCTGTCAGGGCTCTATTCGCTCTCACTGCTCCAGTCGGTTGACAGTTCGCTACCTCAGCCGAATTGACGCAAAAATTCTGGAACTAATTTCAAAATAGAGCCAGGCGGGCCATTTTGCAGTGGACTCCCTCTAATTCACGTCAACCTGAAACAACCATTCGTGAGCAAAGAGGTCACGAGCTGCAAGCGCAGCTTGTGTTGTCAGCCGGGGCAAGCTGTCTGCCCGTGTTGCATCCCTGGCAACCATTCCGCATCCAAATGTGCCAGGGTCCGCAGCAGATTCTACAGAGAATCCAGTGCGCGGAAATCTGATCCCACAATGCTAGTCCAATCGTGGGTGCAAGTCAGCTTCCAGGTGCCTACGCGGACGCCTACGCGGGCAAATGTTCAGTTCAAGTGTTGAAGTGCATTTTGGCAGCTCCAGATTGAAAATCGCAACTCTTCAGCACAAGTTCAGTTTTGGTAGCTCCGCCTCTAAGATCAACTTTGCAGTACAAGTGAGAGCCCCACATCTGTCCAAGGATCTGGCTGCTAAAAAAGCCTTGAAAGCCTAAGCGAATGCCTACGAAAACTGCAGAACAAACCGAAGAAAGGCAAAAAAACACACACACACACACACAAACAAACACACAGACACACAGACACACAAACACACAGACACACAGACACACAGACACACAGACACACACACACACACAGACACACACACACAGACACACACACAGACACACACACACACAGACACACACACACAAACACACAGACACACACACACAGACACACACACACACAGACACACACACAGACACACACACACACACAGACACACACACACACAGACACAGACACACACAAAGACACACACACACACACAGACACACACACAGACACACACACACAGACACACACACACACAGACACACACACAGACACACACACACACACACAGACACACACACACACACAGACACACAGACACACACACACACTCTCACACACACACAGACACACACACACACACTCTCACACACACACAGACACACACACAGACACACACACACAGACACACAGACACACAGACACACAGACACACAGACACACAGACACACAGACACACAGACCCACACAGACCCACACAGACCCACACAGACCCACACAGACCCACACAGACCCACACAGACCCACACAGACCCACACAGACCCACACAGACCCACACAGACCCACACAGACACACACAGACACACACAGACACACACAGACACACACAGACACACACAGACACACACAGACACACACAGACACACACAGACACACACAGACACACACAGACACACACAGACACACACAGACACACACAGACACACACAGACACACACAGACACACACAGACACACACAGACACACACAGACACACACACAGACACACACAGACACACACAGACACACACAGACACACACAGACACACACAGACACACACAGACACACACAGACACACACAGACACACACAGACACACACAGACACACACAGACACACACAGACACACACACACACACACACACACACACACACACACACACACACACACACACACACACACACACACACACACACACACACACACCACACACCACACACACACACACACACACACACACACACACACACACCACACACCACACACCACACACCACACACCACACACCACACACCACACACCACACACCACACACCACACACAACACACAACACACAACACACAACACACACACACACACGCGTTCCTTTTGGCAAACAGCAGCATCGCGTGTGACAGTTGCGCAGGCACACGAGGATTGTGCTGTGGGGGCAGGCAAACATGGTTGGTGGGCCTGCTACGCGGCAGGGGGCTTCAGGCCATCGCTGCTGGCCCGGCCACAGGCAGGAGCCTCAGGCTTCGGGCTGTCGCGGCTGTCGTGACTCGCCGCAAGCTCTGCTTGTCACAGCTCTGTCACATCTGTCTGCAAGATCTGTCTGTCACAGCTGTCTGTCACAGAGGCTCTGTCGGCGGGCAGGGCGGTCGCGGACATCGGATGTCACTTAAAATATGACAACCCCAAACCTGTCGGGTGAGGAGCAAATGTTCGAGTCAGGGTAAGGAGGACCTAGTAAAATGTTTTGCCTGATCCAATCCCTCTGCGGCTGAGCAGCTGCTGGAATCCTCGTCAGTTCGACCTGTCACTCGACATTTCTGGCCGTGCTGGCCGTGGTCCGTGAAGCCAGGCAGGACGGGGTGTTATCCGGGTGGTTCTACAAAAAGTTCTGGACAAATGAAAACTTAGCATAAGGGGCGAGAAAAGGTACAAACATGATACCATGATCGTGAGGCAACTTGTTCTGCCAACCCACAATCCCTTTCAAGTTCATGGACGTCATTAGTACCTCACTTCCTACTTCTTGAGTGCGTTGGCCAAACAAACTGTCTGAACATTTTATTTAAAACTAAGATGGTAATTAATCCAAAAAGTGACTAAAGTCCAGAAACTCCGGGAGTGACGTACCCATCAACAGAACATGACGCCAGAAAGCCGCGCACCGATGCCCAGACTCCTTGCGAAAGAACGGGAGCCATCTCCGGGGTTGATTCCCATTTGCTTGAGCCGGAAAAAACGTTCCAAAGAACATCCAGTAGTCCATGGATTCCCTTCAACACCAATAGGGGGAAACAACTATCTGAAGCAAATGGAAGATTTCGGTTGATTCTCTGCGCTTGGCAAAGAGGGGATGTTTGCCCCGCGCCAAGGAAACCTTCGCCCAAATGCTCCAGGTGCGGTCCGGCCCATCGGACCAAAGGTTCCACGGCAAGAAGGACTCAAACGCCGCACCTGGGTTACGCGACGCATTGTGTTACCTGACATGTGTTACTGCATATTGCTTGGTCAGCGTTCCAATTGATCAAGCTATGATTTGTTTGTTCTGTTGCTAGCGCCATCATTCCAGTAAAGGGCACTGTTTTAAGATTTGTCCCTCATGTTGGCGTTGCCCCAGTTGGCTTGGAGCAACCCTGCGACTGTTCTAAACAGGGCGGAAGGACGCGGTGGGCAGGATGGAACGCTGCCTCACGGCTCAACGGTTCGCCCTCTGACCGGAACTGCACTCCCTGGTGTCAAACAGGAAGTCCCTGCTCTCAGAGGTCCCTCTACCATCCTAGGATGTGTTGTTTTTGTTTCTGGGAAAATGCCAGTTCTTTTTTTTCTGGGAACTTGCGACTTTCTCCTAACATAGAAGTTACCTAGGGTGCCTCTCGCCACGACAATCCCGGGATTTGTCCAGGAACCCTAGATTCTTGAGGGAACCTGTTTTGAGCCTGCACTTCCATGTAAAAAAAAGAAGGAGAAAACAAAAAACGTGAGTGAAAGCGCAGATTCTGACACACGGAAGTGTCCTAGCATAGCACCTGAAAATAAGCCCTTGTCCAAAATCCCCCCCCCCCCCGCCGCTCCAGCCACCCTACTTGATGCTTGCTGAATTTGATGGGACTAGCCGCATCCCCTCTATGTGAGGAAACGTTTGCGTGCCGGAAAAACGCGTTTTGGTAGGGTTGGGTGGGTTTGAGGGAACCGGTGCCCAAATCATTAGCTTCGTGTTCTGAAATGCGGAAGTCGACAGAAACAACCCAGGGATTCTTATGATAGAATTAACCAAAAAGATGGGCTGTTTGACTCACCTGCCCCAAACAAATAAAAGCTTCGGAGCTTCCTGTTTATTCCAGGGAGTGTACCTCAGCCTGACCTTGTTTCCTTTCCTTTTTTCTCTTTTTTTTTTTTGGGGGGGGGGGAGAGGCTGGACAATCTGTTGAGCATAATCCAACATGATCCATCCCCTGTGGGCTGCTTTGTAGGAAAATGACAATTCTTTTTGGCACCCGGTCAACTTTTCTGGCTTGTTTGTCAACCGTGCACCGCAGCTGATGCAAACGCCAAGCCGCCCAAAGAGGCGATATGGACGCTCCAAAAGATGGGCTTCCCAGCGCATCCCCAAAAAGAATGCTTTAAGTTCTCCCTCACATCCGAAAGTCCTATGAGCCACAGTCACAAAACACATGTGTTCGCAAGAATGGGACATTGAGTGCCCCCACTGTCCCCGCAGTTTTGGCGGGAGATTTCGTGCTCGGTCCACCTTCGCGCCACTCCCGAAAGTACATGCCTCTTGTCAAGTAATTTCATGCTCCTGACAGTACCCTAGTACCCCCTTTTGGTTGCTTTGAAATTCAAAGGGAAACCAAAGGGAAACCACTATGTTGGGTTCCCCCCGTCCCCCCCACCAAAACAAAAAAAGACCCCCATATGTCCATGTGCAAAAGGGAAAAACACGTCTCCGGCAGAAAAAAAAAAAAACAGAGGACACCTCCCATATGTCGATTCTCCATGTGTCACAGAGGAGGAGAAAAAAGAAACACCTCCGGCAATTTGTTTTTCGTCGCTTCGAGCCCAGCGGCGGGGCGTGGAGGGCAAGGAGGGCGCGGTGGAGATCTCGCTGGCGCGGCTGGACTTGCGGCCTCGATGTGTCGCTCGGAAGCGCTTGGGACTCGGGGCTCACATGAGGTCGGGGGGGTGGGGGGGCGAAAAAAAGTGGGAATCCATGCATTGATCAACCACTGCTTTTTGAACCATGTCCAAAATCTTGGTATTGTCCAAAACCAGTGGTTGGGAGGTGCTGGAACTAAAAACCCGGATGTCTTTTTATGGTATGGCTGTGTCTTTTCTAAGGGTACCCTGTTCGAATGGTTTTAAGGGGAAAAGGGAAACCAAAAGGATTCAACAGGAAACCAACATTTGTATACATTTGTGGGGTCCCCCTACGTAGTTTAACCCTGCAACAGCACACGTGGAACCTGATTATCCAAGGGCCCCTGCTAGAGACGGAGCCAAGTGACCGGCTGGGGGATGTCCCACAAACATGGGCAAGGTTCCAACCACCTTCTACCCCTTGCTTTTTTTGCGCCTTGAAGCAGAAACCAACAGAACAACCTCATTTTGTGCGCAGGGATTTTCGTCAATCTATGTGACTCCAAAAGTAGCTTGACCCTGGATCCACCTGCTGTCAGAGGGCTCGTCCCCCAAAATGGATCTCTTCACAAGGGTGCAGAACTTGAAATCTCGACTGGTCCTTGACCCGGTGCTTCCAAAGCCTAGGGCTGAGTGTTGCCATGGAGACATGTGGCCGTGCAAGCTTCAGGTCTGCAAAGCTTCCACCACGTTGGGCACCAGTCAGAAACTAAGACAACACATGGGAGAAACTTTGAGGGGACAGCCCAAAAATTATGGTTATTATCCTTTCAGTTTTCTTTAAAGCCACGAAAAAGGGTACCCTCAAAAAGACACACACCCCACACACACACACATGACATGAACTTGTGAATACTTGTGAGACTGGTTCAAACTGACTGCAACATGCATACAAGATTGAACCGTTCTTTTGTTTGACGAGTAGGCAAAACAAGCATAACTTAACAATCAACGTGGACCCTGCTTCGTTTCGCCCACTCGCAGTGGATGCTGGAAAGTCGGATCCACCACCACTGAATCGTCTTTCAATAGTTGCTGGTTGAAAGTTTGCCCGTGGACAAAGCAATGCACAGGCCATTCTTTGCAGAGGGAGATGACATCCGAAGCAAGAATGAAACCAACCAACCAAGCAAGCAACTGACCGACCAACCGAACAAGCGACCAAACCGAAGCACAAACAAAAACACAAACAAACAAAACCAAACAAATCCACATGCACACAAGCAGACATACAAAACAAAGGAAACAAACAAACCAAATAATCAAAGCAAACACAACAAAACAGAACACATCAGAACACAGTGTCAGAACGCAACAAATCAGACTTCCACAAATCAATAACCCAAACCAAGCCAAACAACCCAACCAAAATGCAAGCAAACAATCAAGCAAACACACCCACAAACAAACAAACAAAAACGAGCAATCAAAGCAGCAAACAAGCAACGCCCCTTGCGGTGTCTCGGAATTCTCGAGAGAGTCCAACATTTCATGAGCCAAGTAGCCCATCATCTTGGGCTGGGGCGGCTTGACCAAGGCTCTCCTGAGGCATCGGATTTACGAAACCCGAGGTCTGAAGAGGCCCAAAGAGACCTAGTAATGAACTAACTCCACTCCAGGCACCAGTTGCGATTGGTGGTTTATCCCATTCATGGCTTCATCCATCTCAAATTGTGCAAAATGGTTTGTCTACATCTTAAGTCTAAACTAACATAGAACCCAACAAAAAAGGGGTGAATATCCTGAAAGAAGATTCCTCTTCTTTAAGAATATCATGGCTTTCGTGTTCTGTGATGTTACACGTGATCTGATGGGGCCCTGAAAGTGAGTAAGCAACCTTCTGGGTTGACTTTCTAGGCATGTAAAATATGATTCCTCTTCCATGGCCAAACAAGTCAGGCTTCCCCAAACGTAGTGACCGAGAACCGGAAATAAAAGGCACCCCGTTTTTGCGCTCTCTGTCTCTCTCCCAAAGGGAAGGTCACTCTAAAGAAACAAGGCTGCAGAAATGAAAAAGGTCTACTGGAGGCTGCAAGGATGCTGGCAGAGCAGAAAGTTGGTTTCAAAGGACCATGCAGGAACAAGCTCTCGCCGGTTCCGTTTCCCCAAATCGGAGAACCCCTGAGTGATTTTCTCCGGTGGGTGCAAGACATGGACCAATGCTCTTGGGTTTTGCACATCTGTTCGCACTGAGTTCCCAGCCCAGTTGTAACCAGCGACGGAAGCACAATGTCACGGTCTGTCGGCTCCAATTTGCTTTGTTGCTCGTGCGAACCCAATGTAGATGGGCATCATGTATTGGCTCGAGTAATGACCAGGCGTCTCCTTGTAATTAACATGGTCCAACCAAAAGGAAACTCGACCTAGATTGGCCCAAACGATGCTTTGTGAATTATGACAGCAACCAAAAACGGCGTACACAGTTGGGTGAAACTGAATTGCCACAATTCCGACACATGTTGGTGTAGTCATCTGCGCCATTTACCCTGCATCTACCTCAAAATGTGCCATCTAAATTTCACACTGGCCTGAGTTGGTCAGAAAAAGTATAGACTTCTTCATATAGAGCTGGGCGGTGAACAAACTGACCATATAAATCAATGGCTATATTACCGAACCGACCAATTTGGGTGCGTCGCTTGTGAGGGTACCCTTTTTTGAGATTGCTAAGGGAATCCAATCTCTCCTCAACCCCCCCCCAAACAACAAAGAAGTTCTCTAGCTGCCCCAAACCTCCACGATCGAGCCTGTCTGGGCCTATCGACCCCATAGCTTTCAGCCGAGGAAACAGCGTCTGAGGCAACTTGGTTGCTGGTGACCCCTCTGCATTTGTTTAAACTTTCTCCCAAAACCATAAAGTCCGAAGATCCAACCAACTAGCTACCTACTAGCCCAACCTCAGACCAACAGTCCGAAGATCCAACCAACTATAGCCCTAAAGAAACCTCTGAGCCAGCTAAGACCAAGCAGCTTCGCCGCTGCCGACTTCGCCACCGGCGTGGGCTTGGAGGTGGAGGACGGCTTGGGCAGGGGAGGCTTGAGGGCCTCACGGGAACAAATGTTTGACTCACCTACTCGCCTACAAGTAAACAGAAGCAGCTCAAAAGGGGGTCCCCCAAAAGGAGTTACCTCTTGAAATATAATCTGTAAGGCAGTAGATACGCAAGTGGATGACCCTCTCTCCAACAATCATGGAAGAGGACGTTGAACGGCTTTGCTGCAAAACAAGGGATGTGGAAAAGAACAACACTTGTTTACCACCCAACAGATCTTCCAAAGGTCTCAAACTGAGGAAGTGAGACTGAACTGCATAAAGTCCGCGTGAAAAGGCGAACTTGTCGCATAGAGTTTCCCTGGATCCCTTCTCACCACTGCCGGTGGGTGAAATAAATACGGACATGGCAGAAACTCAAAAGGGCACAATGGCAAAACGGTCAGAGTCAGGCACGGAAAAAAAGGCTGTCAGGTAGAATAAGACTACAACTCCCAATGGCTGGCAATGGAATTCATGGCCTGGCTGAGTATGCATTTTGCTGTAAGGGATGCCAAATGAGCAGTACCTAGACTCTCCATGACCGTCATGACCCCTTTCTCTTGGGTAATGACCTCATGTTTTAAGTGTCATGGGGAGTCTAGGCAGTTGTCTTAGGTGTTCGAGGTTTGAACACCTCAGAGGACTCAAGCTCCGCCTGTGTCCAACCGTGGGGCCTTCGCGAGCCTTTCAACAGCTTGTGTAGGGTCTCACGCCACCTGCCTTCGCGGACCTTTTGGGCGTTTTCCCCCGAGCTAAAAAAGTTCATCTGAGAAAACGCAGCCAACATGGAGCCAACCTTTTAGAGCATGCTGCTTGCTCAATGACACTTAGACTTCGGCTTGCGTCACAAGATCGAGGGTTCCACATCGGTTTCCATTGAGCTGCTTTTGAATTTGAAGCCGCGCAAGAAATCGTTTACCGAGCCTCTATGTTCAAACACTCACTTCTTGCGTAAGGGCCCAACACTGGTTGCTCGTTGACCCTCAGCAGAAGGTCGATCACCTTTTTAGAACTTAAAGGGAAAACAATTTGTTTCCCAAAACGTCTGGGGCCTTCTGGGGACGCACCAGAGACTAGCCAAGACCAACAAAAAAAAATCTTCGCATGCGTGCATGTACCACTGAAATGGCTGTGGCTCACAAAACCGGAATTCTAAAATGGAACCCTGAGTGGAAACATGGACCAAAACCTGCGGTTTGCCCCTGTTCAAATTTGATCCACACCCAAATGGTGCCAAAAGAAATCGAAACCTAGGAGGCTCCAAATGTTCAAACCGCTCATTCTGCAGCCCAGGAGCTGCTCTCGGCTTTGGAGTTGGCTTGGGCTCCTGAAAGAACGCATTGGTATCCACAGCAGGATTTGGACTCCCCGAAAGAGAAAGGTGTCCAAGTATTTGTCTTTGCCTGCCTAGCTCATTTGGTATTTGGGCATGTGTCAAAGTAGGAGGACAAGATTATGGCACCCCCTTTAAACCTACCCTGGAAAGGGTTCCGAGCCTCAAACAAACACACATCAGAGCATGTTGGCCCCCGCAGCGCCCCACAAACTATGGACACAAAAATCCACCAGCTGAAGCGGTGAACAGCGGGTGATGGAACTTTAGACACCACTAAATTAGTTCTACATTGGTTCAGGTTCGTGGGCGGTCGCGAGGCTTTGGCATGCTTTTGCATTTCAGTGGCCCCTCAAGCCCAAATCCCTTTGCCCAGGTTGGACATATGTTTTGACAAACTGGCAAAACAAACTATGTGCGTGAGCCAGCCTTTCATCCGGGGTCAACATCTTGGTTGGTGTTGACCCTTCTGCAAAACGTTTATTTAACTGGTTGGCAGTCTATCAAAAAGTGAAAGTCCAAAGATCCGTTCCCAAGTAGCCACGAAGACATTCCCAGGTGACCCTTTCGGTGTCTCCTTTAACTAGGTCCTCCAGTAGAGAGGTTAGAATAAGTTGGTACCAACTTTTATATTTTTTGTCAACATTTTAGTAGGGGAACCCAACTTGGCACAGGAGCTCCTCCCAGCGGCCGTTCAAAAAAGGGGAACCCAAAAACCGGCAAAAAAAAGGAAGAAAAAGGGAGAACAACAAAAACGGTCAAAAGCGGCACCGAGCTGGACCCAACTGTGTCCTGTAAGGAACCCCCCGGTGAGCTCTCGCGCATCCGTCCGCCCCAGCTGCCGCGCCTCCACGGGCAGTGTGGCCAAGCGCTCCACCAGACACACCTCGATCGACTCGAAAACCGAGAGGTGCAGACTCGAAACTCTAGGGCAACCTTCCAAGCATTCTATCCCAGCAAACCAGCAGATTTTCTACACCCATTCATCCTCAAAAGATTCTACGGGTGGTTTCCTGGGATCCGAATCTTTTCAGGAAACCAGCCAAAAAACCCAGGAGATATAGATCAGGTTTTTGAAAAGAATGATGGTTGAAAAGAATGATGGGAATCTTGGACTTCTCCAGGAACTCTTGTCTCTACCCTCCCACCTTTGTTGGCGATGAAAGGACTCTCTCTACCCTCCCAGAAACAAGCATGGAAACCTGAAAGAGGGGAGGAGACATTTTTTCCAAAGTCCAGCCCTTCAGGTTTTGCGTTTTTGAACCCTGTCCCAAGCTTCACAAATTCCACACGGGGTATTCCCCCCACCCGTTCGATCCAGCCACAAACGGACCGTCGACTTCCAGCTCCCACGGTGGGAGGTCTCGAAAATTCAGGTGTTAAACATGACGTGGGCCTGCTGTCCTTGTGGTTGCCCTTTGAACCCAAAAGAGTCCAACAAAGAAACACGCCAACGTAAGGAAATGGTCTAGCAACGCAAAGAGCTAAGCTTCTAGTTGAAGGGAACCACAATGACAACCATCTACATCAGGGATGCTAACAATCCCACTGCAATGTGTCGCAAATGCATCGAGGATCCAAACCTTTCCGCTTCCCAACAACCCCTTTTCCCTCCGCGCCCGGCTTCCTGCAAGTATGGCCTGAACCCACATAACTCGCAACATTATATTGTTGGCTCACAGCCATCACCTGAGGTTCTTAGGTGTTTAGGGTTTAGCGGGGATGACCATTTCACCCAATAAGTGTCAAACTTTTAGCAGGGGATCTGAGGACAGCCCAGTTGGTATGGTCTGTTGAATAGACGATATTCGAGGAAGTAGTTGTTTGTGCCCAGCTTTGATTCGAAAATTGCTGCAGCGCTCCATTCCATGAGATGGCAGCATCGGGTCGGGAATTGAACCTCGGGTCTTGTTGGCATTTGACCTGTGTGATTGGGAATGACAACTGAGAATGCCAGAGCCAAGGCGTGTGGGCGTCACAACCCGGTCCGAAAGCCATCAAATGCTGGAAGGGTCTGTCTTCTTTGAAGCTTTTAAAGGCTTGACAGGCTAAACAATCTATTAACGCCCGCTTGTGCTTTTCAGGGGCAGAATCTCTCACTCGCAGGAAACGAGTGGCCTCGCAACAGAAGTGTTGAGGTGACCCTGGGGATCCCCAAGTGCCCGCAGGAATTCAGGAAGCCCAGCTCTTTGCAGTGTGGTAAACCTATGGGATGCAAGGCTTCAGGAAGGCGTGAGCTCTCAAAGGATGCAGCCAGGTGCTTCCCGGGCAAGCAAAAAAGTTGGTCCAAGCTGCTGCAAGCGCGAGTAGGCCTAACAAAAGGACACCCACGTCGGAGGCATCTCCTGGCAGGTGCAAAGGTATTGCGGATCCGGGTGCTTGAGCGGGAAACCCACCCCGCCCACTTGTTTACATAAATTTCGGCCTTGGACCAATCAGCCTGGTGGATGGGGGAAACCTCTACCCGGGGGTTCCTTTGAAAGTGAACTAATTGAAAACCACTGATTTGTTAGGTTTGCCTGTTTAGGTGGCAAGTTCGCATTTGTTGGGCTGTATGCAACAACCCCCCGTCCCTGGCGATGGCATGGAAGGCATCATTGGAAGTCGGTTGGGATGCTCAACTGGCGCCTCGGCTGGAACAGTCACAATCAAAGCCAGGTACTGAAATGGTCTACCCAGAACCATGCTTCAAGAATCAAGAAGGCGGCCGCAGCTGTTTATGGCTGGGATTGTCCCTTACTAACCTCCTCCTCCCCGGGTTTTGCTCAACTGCAGCCAAAAGGGACCCTGCCAAGTCCTCCGCCCCAGCCCAGCAGGAACCACTGGAGCGTTGAGACCTTCACCAGCAAGCTGCCGACACCTTGGCGGAAGTTCAGATGGTCGGGCACTAATACAAAATGTCAAATCTCTGCTTGGTTGCTGTTGATCCCTCCCAGACAGGCTAACTTTTTGCGGTTTCAATGGAAACCCACCCACCCCCGGCATTGTTCATCTAGCAGGTTCTACTTAGACTCTGGATAGAGACTAGCGACATCCCGAGTACGCTGACCCTGCCAGGACCCATTCGCGGGCCTCCACCAGGATTGTGAAAAATGCTTTCCACAACGTGGGAATGATGGAGTTGTTCCCGTCTTCGTATGAATGATTCTTCAACCCTCGCCGTCAGGTGTCTTTGGACAAATCCGTGGCGGAGTTTTGAGTGGGCAAATGACTTTTACTATAACTCACATACAGGAATCATGAAATCCCCAAGTCAGGCGCCTTTATGATGGATTTTGGCTTGCTAGCTCATTGGTTTTGGGCCAAGCCTGAAAATGAGACCTATGACATATGACCGTGTTTCCAACATTGGCAATCTCCCAAACTGGCCGTACGTGTGATCCTCGACATTGCCAGCATCCTTTTAGCAACCCTCTACCCAGTTGCCCGGTGACCCTGGCAAACAAATATTTTTTGGAACCCTTTCTGCAAATACTGGTTGGTTGATTGATATGGGGTCAACATTACCCCCCAGTCTGATTCAAAAGTACACTCTCCGCAGACAACCGCCACACAAAGCAAGAACCTGGGTGCCTCTCCCTAATACACTGAACCCCCGGGGCAAGGTCAATTTCCGAAAAGGAGTTTCCTCTAACGTTGACCCCCTATCAACCAACCAGTTTATCCATAGGAGGGTGTCCCTGGGTGCCCCAAAAGGACCAGGTCCCCCCAAAAAGGAGTTTCCTTTATACAAAATTTGGACCATCCTCTGGTCCCATCCATAACTCGGGCCGAAGGGCCCAGCTCCTCCACTGGAGATCCGGGCAGCTCAGACTTTAAGATGCTGCTGACGAGCCTCGGGCTTCTCGTGCATTGCTTTGGATTCACTTGTCCGAAAAAGACCTGGAAATCGTGTCAGAATATGTTTGTTATTACATATCACGGCATTACGAATAGACATTGCAGTTTCTCTCTTGACTCATGCTGATAATTTAACGTAGTGTATATACAAATAGGTGAATCTTATTAAATTTGAGCACTAACCACAAGGGAAATCAGCAGATTTGAAGTCAGATCTGCCCGTCTATTCTTTACAGGAACCTTCTTGGGGCCCGGAATTGCCTTTCGGCGAGCTCGGTCCACGTAAAAATATCTGGTTGCAAACTGCCACTCCCAACTGGACATAGGGTGCTGGTGGTGGTGGTGGTGGTGGTGTTGACTTTCAAAGTTTAACTTGATCTTCTCACTTCCGATCAAGAGGATTGGCAAAAAAGGAACTCAACTTTCTGTTTACCACCAAAATGCTAACCCAAAAAATGACTAAAGTCCATGAACTCAAAAAGTGAGTCTTCATAAGTGAGCTCGCTTTACCCCCACGTGCGCATGAAACGCAGCTCAAATCCGACTCAGCCGAGGCGGCAGAAAGGCCATGGAGGTCATGATCCATTCGCTCTCCACCACCTGCCGAAACGGAACCCGAAACCCCGCCGGGGGCCCCCGAAACGAAGCCGGACATGTGAAGCTGGAGTGGTTGAAAAAGGATCTATGTTGACCAGGGGACCAAGGGTCGCGCAACACCTTCTCACACCGCGGAAAGTAGACCGCGTCCAAGGAGAGCCAGCCATACACGGGTTATGTGTCAGAACAGGGGGGGGCATGTGAAACGTGTGTTTTTTTGTTTGTGGTTTCCCTTTCAATAAAACTGCAAAGGGAACCCTGACGCCATGGCTCTCATTAAAAAAACCCAACCGGGAATTCTTGAAACAATCGCATCCCAAACCCGCTTTACAAGGCAGTTGGCCCAACTGTGCAACCACGTACCCCACGGAACAAGTATGAGAAAGGATGCTTAAGCCAACACAACATGTTGTTTGACAACCACATGTTGAGAAACTATAGCAACCTCATACGGGTTGCCCGTTTTAAGGGGTCCACGATTGGTTGAACCAAGCATTTGCCTAACCCGCAACCTCTCTTGCTTTGGCTTACGCTCAAAGCAGGATTCTCAATGTTTCCAACCCTGAAACACAGCAACCTCCAAAGCAGGCTCGCCCAAGAAAGAAACGTCGAATGATCACCACCCCCTTAGGGGGGGGGGACCTGAAAAATGTAATATTACATTTTTGAGGTTCGCGCTTTCAGCTTTTAGGCTGGGCAAGGTTTTTGCAGCGACCCCAAACAGTAAACGCAACGAGGCCTTTCCGCAGAAAAGTTTATGATGGATTGGAAGGACTCTCCCGAGGGCATTCGACTTTCAGCAAAACCCTGTGCCAACCCCGCCAACGCAAAACATAGGGAGACTCGTTGGTTGGTTTTGAATGGATGCCAACAACACACATAGTGAATGCCATTCCAGCAACTTCTGCAGCTTAGATGTCAATCAGTCACGCGGCTATGAACGCCAAGAGTTGTAAAACACTATGGGGAACCTCTCGCCCATGGCTGGTGAAAGGGAACCTCCGGATTTCGCGTGCGCTCCTTGTTGTGTGGTAAATTGATAAGCCCTTCTCATTAGACAAACAAAAAAGGTCAATGGCCAGCTGGTGGCCAGCTAAGAAGTAGCCATTCACCACATGGTTCAGCGCTTCATCTCCCTTTCTGGAAAACAAAAGTAAATAAATAATCAATACCTTTTGGCGGAGGGGTGGTCCCCCCCCCAAAAAAAAAAAAAAAACACCAAAAAAGACGCTACAGCTCACACGCCTCCGCGATGCCCTCCGTGGCTGTACCCCAGGGCCGCGGATAGGAAAGGCCCACAAAGATGGCGAGCAGAACCAGCAGCCCTGGTAGGGAACAGACGGTCAAATGTATGATTTCTGTTTCCCCAAACACAGCAAGAATCATTGATACATTATGTGTTTTCTTTTTCCATATTATGTACGAATATGCAGCTACCAAATACCCTCCAGATAGCCACGGCTCTAACAAGGTGTAAAACCAATCCATGTTGGACCCCATTGGGTGCTGGTTCCCCAAATGAGCCATACAAAACGAGGTGTTCACAGGGCCTTGCATATGGGTTCACACATTCAGCCTTTGAAACAGGTGCTCGGTCGAAGAGCCCATGCTTGGTTCTTTCGGACAAGCAGGCCAGTTACACCCGGGTAACAGGAGTTGTGCATCTGCAATGGCATGTTTTCTGAAATCGGTCAATAGAGGCGCATGTATGTATGTAAATATATATATATATATAGATAAAACAGTATGCATGTGCATGTTTAGGTATCTGTCTGTCGGTTTATCTATCTGTTGTCTATCTGTCTGGCTATCTATCTATCCATGCCTTGGACAAACACGTGTGGGCCAGAGCCGCAGCAATTTTCTTCGGTTGTGGGTTTCTCGAAACTGGGGGGGGGGGTGGGCTGGCTTGGTCCTGTGGACAAGGATCCTCTTTTGCTAAAGAAACAACTCCACCAACAACCTGCCAGTGTATGGCTGAAGCTCTCCTGAAAGGGGCGTTGCATCTTACCCTGAGGCTGGACGCCAAAGGCTGGCGCAATCAGACGAAACCCCGTGAATACTTGCTGATAAGCCACAAATCCCCACTGAGAACTGCCGGAAATTTTGTCCATCAGAAAAACACCGGTGCAAAAATGGTAGGGGGGGCTCTCAAAATTGCTTGAAGAGTATTGACGTTGACTACTTGGAACTCACAGTCTGGCCCGCTTCCCAAGGGACCAAACTCTGTCCCGAGAAAGCGCGCCTTGCAGCTTCTGCCCCAGCTGCAACACCTCGAGCTGCGGCGCCTGCAAAGGTGTTGGACGGGGAAAGGTGCCATTTGGCTCCCCGAAAAGCAAACAAGCCCAGAAAGCATGTCCCTTTAGGGAAATAGATGGCCCTGGCAGATGATTAAACCACCAGGTAAACCAGGGCCATCTATCTTTCTACCAAAACAACCAAAAAGGACACCTATGCCAGAAAGGGGGACCCCTGAGAAAACACAAACACCAAAAAAAGGGGACCGCTGGTTTCAAATCTCGGTGGTGTCGCTGGTTGCCCCGCCTCACACCACACAAAAATTCCCCATTCCACCTGAGGCAACTTGAACTCCGCTTTGAGCCAAGCAGGTAAGGCCACACCCCCGGCTGACCCAGTTCCAGATCAGGAGACCAGTCCCAAGGTGAGAAGGTCAGGAGGAGCTTCTGTCGCACAAGCAGCATTCTCTTGTGGGTTCCTGTAAGACATGTGCGCAAATCTTGTTCATTTGGCGCCCAGCACACTACGGAAATTCCCCCCGCTATGGGATAGTTGACTTGACAGGACAACCCCTCTAAAAAGAGCAGAAGGGCACCGCTTGGGATCTTGGAAAATGGCAAACATCCCCCAAACTAGCAAGCAACCAGGGCCCTGAAAGAGTGAGGCAGCCGGTATGTGGCCTCCAAAGCTCGATCGGCCGAACCTGCAAGCCTCCGCCAGCAGGGGCTGGCATAGGACCGCCAAAGACGACAGCAGCACCTCACGCCCAGAACAAACCGCGGCCCAAATGGGGATGCTTTAAGTGGCCCTTGTCTTTCTTCATTTTCTTCGGACGTGTGAGTGCGGCCCGAGCCCACGTTCCCTTCGCTACGGATGTGATGCTAGTGGCCAAACTGGGTGTCGCGGCACTTGAGGCCTGAAAAGCGGCCTGGCGCCCTTGAATTGAACCGATTGAACACCGATTACTTCAGCGAACCCTATTCAAGGTCTTGGACATCACGAGCGAGTCCCAAGTCCCGTGTTTTCCGCTCGGCGAAGCATCGGTCCCACTCGTGACAGGCACGGATTTCAGGGGATTCCTCATGAGGAACGAGGTAAACGCCGCAAGCTACAGGACTCTCTCTCCCCGATTCCGTCTCAGAATGACGCCTTCATCAGTAAGCCTGCAACTGCGGAAGGCGAACCCTGGGAGACTGGGAGATAACAAGTCATATAATTGGAGGCGACCTTTCACTAATCATACACGACAACGCAGTGTTGTTGCGATCATTCACGCTATTTCACTCAGATGCGTGTATTCACACTTCGTTGTTTGCTTCACTTCTCAAGTTTCATCCTATCGGGGAGCTCTGACGGCTATTGCTCCTGCCCCTTTTTCAAGCCTTTAACGGTTGGAGGTTGGGAATTGGCGCCATCTTAGTGGAAATTCATCCTCTCCCCAGAAAGTCGAAGGTTGAAAAAAACCTGGGCTGTCCTCAAATCCCCTGCCAAAAGTCCAACTTTTGGTGGGTTGAATGGACACCCACGCTAAACTCTAATCTAAAAAAAGCTTTTCAAGCAAAAACTACTGGGATGGCTAGGAACCACCAAGATGCAAGCCGCTAGCATTCAAGGGTGGGTTGAAGGTGGGTCTACCATAGGTATAGTGTGGGTCTACCATAGGTTTAGTGTGGGTCTACCATGGGTTTAGGTTGGGTCTACCATACGTGTTGGGTGGGCTAAGCAGAGGGCGCGCGGAACACCCGCGTACTTAGAATCTCATCCGCAAGGCCTGCGCCAGCAAAGCCAGAAGGCCCCGGTAGAGCGCCATATCCTGCTCTGATGCGGCCTGGAGACGGGAGCGGCCCACCCCACACCCACACACACACACACACACACACACCCACCTACACACACACACACAAAAACCAAAAAGTGGCGAACCATCATGGCAGCCATCATGGCAAGCACATGGTAAACACAACAATATGGTGAGCCTGAGCTGTGATAAACAAATGTTTGCGCTTATCAAACACGCGTTGGTTGTTGCATTTGGCATTTGGCGACAGTTGGGCTGCAGTCTTGGGCAAGAGTTTTGGGTGAGCAGTCTCCCCTCTTGCCCGCCTGTAGGAACTAACCAAAAATCATCTTCCAGACCCCCGACTTGCAGTGCAAGTGCAAAAACAATGCGCGCCTTAAGGCCTTTCAACAGGACGGCGGTCACGAAAACGCCCAGGGCAAGCCAGTGCCGACTGGAGAAGCGCTGCCGCGAGCCTCGGGTGGGGCGTTTCTTTCAAAGAGGCTCCCTAAAGGAAACATCCAAACACCACATTTACAAGAAAATCCTGCAAATATGTCTGTTTCGTTCACTGGCCCATGTCTATCATTCACCGTGCCCTGCTCCTCAAGATAGGCAGGGTTGCTAGGCCTTCCAAAAGCTGTTCCTTGGAAGAGACCCCACCTGCAAAAAGCAGCCATCCTTGCAAACCCGGCCTTTCGCGGGTCCTTTCAGATGGCTCGTTCTCCAAGTGTCCCTTTCGCCCGTTCTGAGGGAACCGCTTTGGTTAACATTTGCTTAGTTGCCCGAAGGAGCTGGACAAAGTCGCTTTGTTTCCACGAGTTGAAATGACCCCCATGAACCAGCGCTTCCATTGGCGGAATCCCAATTATCCCCTCTCAGATGCCCAGTGGCCATGGGAAACAAGGACATCCATTTTTTGGCTGGTTGACTTGAAAGGGCAACCCTTCCCAAAAAAAGGAAAAAAGGGCACTGCTGGACCCAGTTCAGCCGGCCCTTGCCTAGACAAAACCTTGCAGGTGCGAAAGCTGGAAGGATTCCAACCTGAAACCTCCGAGGCGTTTTCCTAATGCTGGGTGCTCATGAAACAGCCAGCCGCCCGGCTGAGGGGAAGATGCAAGCAGCCTAGGTGTCCTTTCAGGGGAAAACGACGGCCCTGGCAGATGATTAAACCACCAGGTAAACCAGGGCCATCTATTTTTCCAGCAAAACAACAAAAAAGGACACCTATGGCAAGCAGATCTTTGGGGTGGCGGATCGGATCCCCCCTTGTCAAGGTCGGATCGGATCCCCCCGTTGCACCTAGCCCCTTGGTTGCTATTGACCGCCCCCCAAGAAAAAAGAGTTTGACTTCTTTGTGGGTCCAATCGAAAACCCGCTGTGTACCAAAAGGCGCCAAGGATCAAAGATCCGTCCCCAAATAGCCATATATAGGCCCTTCAGCAAAGATGCACGCAGCAACCTCCACCAGCCGAAGCGACACCTCTCGGCTGTCGCGAAGAAACCTCCGCTTGAAACAGGGAATTTAATGCTGTTCCTTGTTGGCTGCCTCCCCCGGCAAAGTCACGTTGCCCCAGATAATAGGTGGTTTTCGTTTGGTTTGACCAAAGTCACCTATCAAAACCCATGTTACCCCCCCCCCCTCGCCGCAAAAAGGATCAGACGTTTCCTGAGTGGAGGGATACACCTGAATCCAGTGTGGCTTGGACCCCGCAAACCCCATAAACCGGGGGATACCAACCATACCCTTGAAAAAACCCTCTTTGTTGAAACTAGCGCCCGGCGCCACCAACAAGCCTAAGCCAACACAGGGTGGCGGGTGGTGGATGAGTTTGCAAAAGGGCGGGAATTGAAACCTAAACAAGCATCATTCAAATCATTCATGTTTGTATATGTTTGTTTGGATGACTAGAAATCTGAATGCTTCGTTGCTCATTCCCTCTCCTCTGCCACAAACACAGTCTTCACTCGCAGCAAATCCGTACAATCAGATTGCACAAACCCGGTTTGGGAAAATGAGCCAGAAAAGCTGGCTGCTGTTCATACCCTGTTTCGTGAGTGCAAATCTTTCTCAAGTACAAGTACCAGTAGGCAATCCCGAATCCGCATCACGTCATCGCAGGGCTGCAAAGCCCCTGCGAATCGCAGAGCATGGGCACTCATCCTTACAGGGTTCCGACACAGATCACCCCACATTCAAACTCACCTTGCATTGGACCCATAAGAGATGCTGAACACCAACAACCAGGGAATGTCGGAAGCACATGGCAACAACTTGTACCCAAACGAACCGCGCCCCCTTAAAGGGGGGCGTTTTTTTAGGCCACTGGGCTTCCAGGGAAGGAACCGGGGTTTGCCGGAGCGTTGCTTCTCTTTGTCACTTCCTGTGGGGTGGTCAGGAAGAGAGCTCCTGTTTGAGTACCACTAAGATGACGTTCTCCAGAAAAGGGCTCGTTTACCCGGTGACCTGGTGAGGCTCATGTCTAAAAAGGGCTCATGTTGCCCGGTGACCTGGTGATTGTCCGGACAAAAAGTCTTCCACCGCCGGAGATTTCGCCTGCAGGATGACCAGGTACGTGGCAGGGTCCAACCAGAAGAGGCTTACAAAGGATAGCCATTGGCTCACCTCAGCGCCGAAAAGAACGTTTTTTTTTTAACAACAAAACAACAACAACAACAACAACAACAACAACAACAACAACAACAACAACAACAACAACAACAACAACAACAACAACAACAACAACAACAACAACAACAACAACAACAACAACAACAACAACAACAACAACAACAACAACAACAACAACAACAACAACAACAACAACAACAACAACAACAACAACAACAACAACAACAACAACAACAACAACAACAACAACAACAACAACAACAACAACAACAACAACAACAACAACAACAACAACAACAACAACAACAACAACAACAACAACAACAACAACAACAACAACAACAACAACAACAACAACAACAACAACAACAACAACAACAACAACAACAACAACAACAACAACAACAACAACAACAACAACAACAACAACAACAACAACAACAACAACAACAACAACAACAACAACAACAACAACAACAACAACAACAACAACAACAACAACAACAACAACAACAACAACAACAACAACAACAACAACAACAACAACAACAACAACAACAACAACAACAACAACAACAACAACAACAACAACAACAACAACAACAACAACAACAACAACAACAACAACAACAACAACAACAACAACAACAACAACAACAACAACAACAACAACAACAACAACAACAACAACAACAACAAGAACAAGAACAAGAACAAGAACAAGAACAAGAACAAGAACAAGAACAAGAACAAGAACAAGAACAAGAACAAGAACAAGAACAAGAACAAGAACAAGAACAAGAACAAGAACAAAAACAACAACAACAACAACAACAACAACCACAACAACAACAACAACAACAACAACAACAACAACAACAACAGCAGCAGCAGCAGCAGCAGCAGCAGCAGCACCACCAACAACAACGACGACGACGACGACGACGACGACGACGACAACAACAACAACAGAGCTCTGTTCTAGGGGTTGTTTGTTTTCCATGAATTCAACCATCGCTCTTTTCAAAAACCAGCCATTTTCCCTGGGAAAGGTAGCCCTGGATCTGTTTACTCCCCTGCAAATAACATAAAACCCAGCAAGGCAACCAAGGGGTCCATTTCCCAAAAGGAGATTCCGATCCTAAAGATGGTGGGCTTGGGGGTTCCATGTTGAACTGGGTGATCCACGAGCCGTCTCCTGAAATCAAGAAGGCAAGCCAACACGCGGCTTCACTTTTGCAAATCCACTCAACGGGTAAGTAGAAGCAAACTATGTCTCACTGGCTGAGTGGATGGTCCAAAAAAAGTCCAAACTTTATATGTGCCCCTAAAATGGTCTTCCCCAAAAGTTTAAAGTTCATGAACTCAGGAAGTGAGATGTTGTTTACGGTGTCCCCAAGTGACATGGGAATTCGGTAAGTGAGCACCATTGTACGTAATTTCTCCCGTCTCCCCCGTGTCGTCCCTTTGACCCAGTCTGCACCAACAACACCTGGAACCCAGCAGAAGCTCCATTTTGGAGGCACATGGCCTTGCAGAAACCCCAGTCTTGGGGTAGATGACGGTAAGAAAAAGGCCTGGACCGATTCCGGCATCTAGAAAAAGGACCCTGCATGGCGCCGACAAATCGAGTACCAATCGCTGGCCCCTGCGTTCCCAATCAAAGACTAGGCGAAGAAGACCGATACTGACTCAAGCGCAACTCGTTGTGGAGCAAATCTGAGTTCCAGCAACTCTAGGCTTTTGCAACGCGTTCACGGAAACTCAACCCGTCCGAAAAAACCTCGCGTCTGAATTCATCCTTCGGGCCCACATTTGGGTGACGGGTTCACCGTGACTTGGACCTCTGACACCTTAGGCCACCAGGAAGACCCACAGGCTGAAGCCACCCGCCCCCCCAAAAAGAAATATAACTGAAGAGGCGTATATATATATATATATATGGAGACCATCTGAGAAACGCCCCTCCCAGACCATTCCGGCACAAAGGCGGCCGGAGATAACACAAGTGATCCGGGTTCCGTCTAAAAAGGTACATGCCCCCCAAAACCGGGGCACTAGATCGGGGTGTGGGGGGCACAAAACAACAACATCCCCCTTTTGGTTTCCTCTTAGCTTGTGCGTGAAACATGAAAAGCCACATGGAGAAAATCATCAAACCTGTGGGTAGCTTTTTGCCATCGGGTCAAAGTCCAAAGCCTTCGGTCTCCGAACCTTGTCCCAGTTTCTGTGCACCCCGGTTTCTGGTAGAAAAAAAGCCGCCCGCCGTTTGGGGCGATCCTTTTTCTTCGTGGGGAACCAGACACACACAAAAGTTGATCTGCGGAAAGTTGTCACCCCGATTTTTTCCGGAGGGGAAAAGACACAGACATATGCGCAGTGGTGCTAGATTTTCGTTAAAACCAGCAGGGAAACATAAACAATTTTCTTAAGCAAATGGAAGCTGTTATTTCCTCAAACGGTCCAGACCCCAAAACCAACCATGTGACTAAAGTCCAGGAACTCGGGAAGTGAGTCAATGACTACTCCACTTCAAAGGGGTTCGCTGAACTCACAAACAAAGGCAACCCAAAACCACCTCAGCTGCTTCTGACAGAAGCCTCAGGCAGTCCGGATGATTTATCTGCCCTGCTCAAATGCCTACCCGGGTTCAAACGTTTTGGGCCATCTTGGGCCAGACATAGACCCCCTACGAAAGGTTAACTTGTGGCCGGTAAGGGTAAATAAAGGAAACTCCGTAAAGTTAGTTGTCAATATGGGCGCAAGTTGAAAAGATCTCAGCTGAGTATGGCAACGCATTGCAACTTTCACAGTTTGGAAGCTGGGAATCCGTGGGTCAAACCAAAAAACAACAAGCACCCCGAATTGAACGGCCACTGGAAAGAAGCTCTTCTGCTTCTGCGGTCCATACCCTGGCTAGCTCCTCCAGTGAGGTTAGAATAAGGGCACCCGTTTTCCTGTAGTCGATTTTAGTAGGACAACCCTCCCCCAAAAAGGAACGGTAAAAGGGCACCTGGCTGGGGACCTAGCTGGTTGATAAAATTGAGCTGAAGCTGGGCCTCTGCTTTTCAACTGCCGAGGCGCTGCCGAGCAGAAGCCCAGCAAGAAGGTGAGGCCCAGTGTTGCAAGTGGCTGCCTGGGCCGGCGACGTTTGGTGAGAAAAGGTCGTAAATGGCGTCCCGGAACTATCACCGGCTCGGTTGCAACCAGTTTGGACCTGGAAATAAAAGGTGATCACATTGTGGGTTGCCATGGCGAAAAAATGGCGGGCAACATGGGAAAGCCAAAAGGTCAAAAGGTCGATTCGGTGCCCAGCAAACCTGGCAAAAGAAAAACCAAGCGCTTTCTGCGCCAACCGACGGTGCCACTGAACAAGAAGGGCACAAGCTTATGAGGGCTTATCCCCCCCCCTTGACCTTCAAGGGTCTAAAAAACGAACCAAATTCCCGAGTTTCCCCACCAAAAACAACAGAAGCGCCCACTGCCCACCCGGCGCGCCTGGTCTCGAGGGACCACACGCTGCTGAGGCCCAGCGTGTGGTGGACCACGGCTGAAGCGCGGAGAAAATATCGCGGGGGACCGGACGCTGGGGACAGAGACAGCTGGAAAAGTAATTAATGTCGACCCAAAATTAATTTACCAGCTTATTAATAAGTGGGTGATTTTTGGCAAATCATGTCGACCCCGGAGCTTTTAACCCCTGTTTTTTCTTCGTGGCGGCTTTTGGCCCCTCCAAACGTGATCTGATTCCCCACCCAGGGCCACCCCCTATATGACTAAGCAAGGGTTGAAAACTAGGGGTCAACGTTACGGGCGCCCTTGGGAGTACCAGTTGAGACGTGATGCGTTTAAAAGGATCCTGGGAACTTAAAGAAACAGCCTCTATCAGCCTGATGGTCTCGGGTAGGGAATGAATGACCTTCTGACTGTTGGGCGTGAAACCGGAACGGGATTCTCGGGGTCGTTTGCTGAGAACCAGCCGCGCCATGGCCGGGCAGAGGCCACCCAGCACCTTTTGTTTCATTTTGGGGGTCCGCTTGATGTCCAGAGCTCCCCTCAGGGCCCCTTCCAGGCGATGGAAGTCAAGCACCAACAGGACATGCGCTGCTTGGAGCCTTCCTTGGTGATCTCTGATTCCGCTGGTGCAGGTGAAAAGTCATCTCAATTCATCATTGCGCAGGGCAGGCATCCTGATAGCTAAAACCACTCAAACCGCCAATTGGTTAAATATCAACATGGGATTGTGGAGCTTTCGAAACCAAATTGCGTCATGACCATGGGAGCTAGGTGTTAGTACTTCTTTGGAGCCTCCTACTACGCCACACTGACAATTCAACAAACAACTGCCCTGTGTTTTTCGGCAAGTTCAAAGTCGCCACCCATTTTGCCCATTGCCACTTGCGACACCATTGGATGACTGGATATCACACGGGTGCCCCTTTGACCGTTGCAAGTTGGCCAGCCACCCAAGCAGAAACAATTCTACCCTCCTTGGAGGAGCACAGGAAAAGACAAACCATTTGGTGAGAAACCGGCTGGCACAAAAACGGCACGTCCTCTTGGGAAAGCGGGGTGACAAACGAAACCCCCTTAAAAAAAAAAAAAACGATGGAGATCGGAGTTGCGACTCAAAATCAGCTCTGCGGTTTGCTTCCTCATCTGAGTCAGAATCAAAACCCGGTATACAAATGGTCGTAATCCCAGAACCATGCTTCAAGAATTAGAAGGCGGCCGCAGTTATTTATAGTTGGGATTGTCCCTTACTAACCTCCATCTACCCGGGTCTTGATTGGGGCTCGTAGCTGCCGCCGGCGAAAGGGACCCTGCCGCGTCCTCCGCCCCAGCTTAGAAGGAACCACTGGAGTGTTGAGACCTTCATCTGCCCGGGTTTGGATTATGGCTCATTTACGTCTCACTCCATCGTAGTCATTGAGCCACCCCGTCACAGCACGTTCGGAGAGACTCCGCGCCTGCAGCCCAAACAAGCTGCGCCAGTTGCAGCGCCAAAGCAGCCAGCAAGGCCAGGTGGCCTGCCAAAGAAAAACACCAAACCGGCTCAATGTGAAACAACTACCACCTGAACCTTGATGTGTTTTTGTTTATTTGGTTTGCCCTGGTTGATTCTGCTTGTTGCTTGCTGTGCTTGTTGTGAAACCTGTGTGGTAGTCGCTTTGTCATCCGGCACGGATTCCGTTCAAGGGGTCCAGAGCTTGGTTGGTTGAGCATGTTTGTCCTTTCTATTAACCTCTCTTGAGAAGGTAGGCGCGCTGGCTTCCGCCAAGGACGCTTTCCAGATTCTTTCAATGAAGTCCTTTCACTTTCCAGGGTGTTCGATCGAAACACCTGCTTCTGGGTACTTCATTTCAGTCACATGTTCCATATCACCTTTTTTTCCAGGTTGAAAGCCCTGCAGAAATTTCAAGCGGTGCCAATCCCTCCTTTCCGGCAATGCGAATGCTGCCCTTCCACACGTGGGGATGGAGAGGTTTCCTTACAAACCCCAGCCCCCCAGCGGATGTCGCATGTCCTTGGGACAAATTCCGGCCAACCCCACCCCCACCCCTGATTTTTGAGCAGTTGGTTTTCCAGCTGCCCCCCAAAAAAGTGACAAATCCAAGGGGCCCCAGAGGTCTGGCTGCTTCAACGGAGCCCTTGGCGCCTGAGGCAGCCGCGAGGTGTTGCGAGAGAGACTGCGCCAAGAGCAATGCCAAGTACAGCGCCAGCCTCAAACCCACACGCCAAAGCAACGATAAAATGGCGCCCTCTCGTAAAACAATGGTAAGGCGTATATGGTGTTTTTTTGTTTTTATCCCCGGGGAAAGTGGGTTGGGGGGGGGGATAGTGGAAATATTCTTGAAGAAACATGGGGCAAATGAACGCTATGTCCGCCATGTGGGTATTTATTTCTCTGCGGGAACCCCGTCGGTTGGTGCTCAAGGCAAACCAACCGGAAACCCAACCATTTGTAGGGGGGTTCATCGGCTTCCGTGAAAATCAGAGCGGCTGCATGGTTGTTCCTTCTGATCCCCGTCAAGACTAGTCAAAGGAATCCCCCATAGATCAATCTCCACCTTTAGTGGGAATCCTGAATTAGTCCGGTCCGGATTTTTCCCAAGTGAACAGACAGGGTCGCTGAATCTTCCCATGGTTGCTTCCATTTCTACGATCGATCCACTTCTGGGCGGTTCAAAAATGTGCAAAATACGAAAACTCACTTGCCGAGTGGATGGGGAAAAAAGTCCGAAATTTGTTTTCCTAAAAAGTCCAAAGTCCAGCACCTCCTGTGTGTACGGGTTACTCTGGCCAGGGCGTGACCATAGCAACCGCCTCGTGGCAAGAACGCTTCCTGAGCGGGTGCTCTGCCAACTAAGCTAAAGCGGCCCATGCCACCGAGAAACTGCGCTTACGCACCTTGCCCTTTAAAAGCACGAACGAACAGGTACCCTCCCCAGCTCCCATTTACGGAGGCCTTGTGTAAGCTTCCATGCTAGCCTGAGAGAGTGTAATAGTCCAGCAAGTTCAGGAAGTGACATGGCCATGAGTCAAAACCCCGGTGATCCCCCAGACATCCCAATCCAACCACCAAAATACGTTACTTCTAAACTGGGTGAGTTCACCTACCAACCAAAATGGTATCAAGTGGCCGTGGCTCAAAATTTAAGAGCTAGGGCAAACCGCGGGATTTGGTCCATGTTTCCTGCCAGGGTTCCATTTTGGAATTCCGGTTTTTTGAGCCACAGCCAAATGGGATCCCACGGTTTTGACCACCACCGCCTGCAGAAAGCCCCCGGTGTCTCAGCCCGAGTGGCACCGCGCCCTCGGAGGGCTGCAACAGCGCGGCGTACGCGCTCTGGCGGCTGCAGGCAGTGAGGCGCCGACCGCAAACCTCGGGGGAAAAACCCGGCTGTTCCTTGCGTCAGGCGAGGCCCTGACCAAAAAGAGACAGCGTTTCGTTGAATCACTCTAAAACGTTGTCAGATAACTGCAGTTTGAAAATGTTTGGTGAATCACCCCACCAAAACCTCCAAAAAAAATTGTACCCCCAGCTCGCCATAAGATACGCGTAGAATAATAGAGTTGCGGGACCCAACTAATCTGAGGACCCTCCCGTTTTCAGGCGCCTAAAGTGCTCTTTGAGATGCTTCCGGCCGCAGTGGATCCGGAAGTGGCATCCTCTGACCCCGGTAGACACAGGGGCGCAATTTGTTTGGGGCCCATTCTTAACGGATAACCCGCCAAACAAAACATGAAACAGTGTGCCACTGAACGGGGATCACTATGGCCCACTTTCTAAGTGGATTGGCAGCACAAACACGTCTGCGTTGAACACACAGTTGCCAAATTTGGTTACTATCCTGGGGTCAACGATTGCTAAGGTCCCGCTTGCCCGAAATGAACATGCGGGAAACCACCGGATTACCTGAAAAAACAAATGCAAACAAACAAACAAACAAACACACACAAACACACAAACAAACACACAAACCAGCCAACAAACCAAACAAGCCAAGCAAAGCAAATCAAAGCCAAACAAAACAAACAAACAAACATATGACAAAAAAACCAAACAAACAAACAGAAAAAAACACAGTAAACAAATGGAAGAAACAAACACATAACCCCCCCCAACAAAAAAAAAAACAAACACACAACAAACAAACAGCCCATAAAACAACCGCCCCGGCGCATACAGCGCCGCCACAGCCAGCAGCGCCGCGCACAGCAGCAGCGCGCGTCGGAGGCCCAGTCCAGCGCCGAGATGAGGCTCGAAGGGCGAGACCGGCGCCGAATCTGAGCGACGAGAGTGGCTTCCATTTGCTTTCCGATTGGTTTTCCTAAGCCACACCACAAAAGGAGGCCTCAAAATAAAGACATGGCTTCCATTTGCTTCTCCCTTTGGTCAAACAATGTCAAAAATGAGATGTTCGGTTTGCTGTCCGATGGGTTTCATAGGTCCTCCAGTAGAGAGGACTGGAATAAGGGTACCAACTTTTTTTCGGTAGTCTACTTTAGTAGGGGAACCCTCCACCCCAAAAAGGGTAACAGGGCACCACTGCAGGACCTAGTTTTCCTGAGCCACACCAAAGGGAGGCCTCAAAACAAAGATACACATGGCCTCATGGCCTCCATGTGCTTTTCCGTTTGCTCAAAAATGCGATCTTCGGTTTCTGCTTCATAATCAGCCCAACATCTAGCGTAGAATTGTTTGAACAAAAAACACGTCCTTCATCTGAAAATGTTCGCCTGGAAAAAAAAAGAAAAAAGAAGAACGAGAAAACCAATAATTAACAAACACCAATCACCAAGAACAACAATCACAAGAAGAAAGCAAAACCAACTGCCAGTGGTCATGGACAACAAAAACACCTTGAGCAACTGGACGGTTGGAACCTGGAGCTGGGGGACCTGAACCTTGCGAAAGGCCAAAAGCCAAAAGTCAGTGACGAAGGCGCGGGTGAAATACCGTTGAAAGTGACGAACTTGTGTGACCCCATGCGGAAGAAAAGGTGAGACACTCTGGCAAGTGGGTTAAATGGAAACGACCACTAAACCAACTAAAAAGCCAGAAAGCGAAAGATCCGGACTGGGGGCCATGCATCAGTGGGGAATGAACCGGGATTCCCTGTAAAGGAAACCATAGGGGATGGTTTTTCTCGTGGTCATCGTTCTCTGTGACCTCCCTGTGTTTCCCTGCAAGATCTAAAGGAACACTTCCGTTGGGGTGGACAACTGGGCTGGTTGCAAAAGGAGATCTTTACCTAAAAGACTCACTTCCTGGCTTTTTCAGCAAACGCAGCCAAACCTGCTTTATAAATCGATTTACCACTAGACTGTTCGTCCCAAATTGTGTCAAGTCCAGAATGGAAAGTGAGCGAAGCCTGCCTGCTTCCCCCTCCCTCCCCCCCAAAAAGAAAGCAAGCGATTTCCCAGAACCTTCGTCCGAGGGCGGTATCCCTCTTGCCTGGCTTTCCGGCATAGCCCCAGGAGACGCCATTCTTGGCCAAGTACTTGTGCCACAAACGCCTCAAAGACCCACTCTCCCAAACGCCCTCCCACGGCACAGGAAGGTCGCGGCCGCTTCCAAGGGGAAAACTGTCTTTCAGCCCTCTCAAAGGTGCTGCGTGGGTGAGATGGGGGGGGGGTATTTGTGTGAGGAGCCCCTCGCCTTGAACAGCTACTGAAAACCGGCACCACGTAAATGGCAAACCGACTAATCAAGCCTTGTCGAAACCTGCTCGGAATTAAGTAACAAAAGCAACCAACCTGTCGAACGACCTCAAGGCCTTCAAACTGCTCGCTGATCGCACTTCGCTCGAGGACTAACAAAAACAAGTCACACCTTTTGACACGTGGCAACCAACCCCCAAAAGAGCTCAAGGAATACTCCATGACCCATGAAGGCCTATGACACCATGAATCCCTAGCGTGGATGGACGAAATCCTGCACCACCTAAGAAACCATGGTTGAATCCATTGTTGGTATTTACGTTCGGGAATCGAATCGAATCGAATCATACCAGGGTGTCTGAACCGTGCTGCGATTTCTGGGTTTCGACAATCCACAGGAATAAACCGTGGATCCCAGTTAGGCAACCAGCTACTTTCCTTTGGTTCTTTAAAGGGTGGTTCCCTTGGTTACCTACTCTACAGGTGCACGGATTCACCAATGTTTTCCCATGGCTTCCCTATGGAATCCGAGGCAGCAAATCATGTTTTTGTCAGGGGTACTGTAGGGTTCTCGAAAACCCCAATCCCCAAAAACCAGGCTTCCATTTGCTGAAGTCGCTGGGGAAAAAAGAAAAACCAACATATTTCCGGTAGTGATAGATTCCCTTTAAAACCAACAAGGGAAAAAGAAACTTAAGCAAATGGAAGCAGGTCAAAATCAAAATCCATGCAGGAAGTCTTTCTTCCCAGGGCGCCTGTCATAGGCTGCCGCCGCTGCGATGCTGGCGCGCTGCTTCTGCGCCAACTCCCGCTGCTGGCGCATCACCTGTCACCCAACCCCGAGACGAAAACCCGAGAAGCTCGTGCCCCCATGTGTGGGCTGTGGGTCAAAACCAATGGGATCCCATTTTGGGGTAGGTGAATTCACCACCCATTTTAGAACCAGTTTTGGTGGTTGGATTGGGGTGTTCACTGGGGGATAACCGGGGTTTTGACCCATGGCCACGTGGCTTGGAGCCCGGGTTGGATTTGGAGTTCAAACCCCCTGGTTTGTGTAGCGGGTAGCCTCCCAATGAACAGCCGGAACCTGACAACGAAATGGTCCCTTAAAAAGGAAGATGATACGAACCAGGACCCCCATTTGAGGTTCCTTTACTTGCTGGATACCCGCAACAACTGCTTTGGGCCATGTCCCTTATGGTGCAAAAAGCCGCGGTTGGGGAGGGGGGGTGCTGGCCCAAGTTAGGTGTAAGTTTCTGGAAGGCAATATGTGTGTGGGTCAAAAATAGGTGTCCAAAAGGAGCCCTGGCAATTGGGAACAAGAACGAACAGCTGCCTGGTGGCTTGATTTGACTCATATCCATATCCAACGTATCCAACAGATTTCAACCTGACCAATTGAGGCTTGACACGTAGCTGGATCTGGGGTCTCCCACATGGCTCGGAGTGGCTGCGGGCCAGGGTTCCGGAAGGGTTCCGGAAGGTTGCGGTTGGCCATGTCACCCAGGCGTTTTTGCTTTGCTTTTACTGCTCTGTAAGCCCTTTCAGCTTGGATTGAAAGAAAACCAAGATGACAAACACATTTGTTGGCCTCCAACTCCCACACATACTCATAATATCATAACATGTCAGTTGTGATGATTATATACCAGTGTTTCCCTGGAGGCAGTGGCTTGTGCCAAGAGGCCCCGTCTGGGTTCTTCAAATGGAATCCGTAGTGGGACACCAGAGCCACAAGGGGCCCCCGTGTCTCCTCCGAAAGGTGTCAGCAAAAGCTCTTCACCGAAAGTGCTAAGGGAGCAGGCTGCAGCTAAGCTGAGCTACGGACAATTCAGGCCAAAGTTCCAAAGCCTTTGTTCCACACACCCACAGCTAGAAGCCACTGGGTTGCAGTAGCACGTTTAAAACAACCAGACCAAAGGTGGCCATGGGTTTGGGAACTGAATCCAAAGATAAACCTCTCAAAAAGAAAGCCAAAAAAAGGAAGCAAGCCAACACAAAGGCATCCCCCAAAAAAGGCTTCGGCTCTCTTTTCGTGCCCCCTGGAGGCCAACCAACGGCAAACCCCACCACTCATGTCCCCCGCCCCGACCATGGCGCCATGGCCCTGCACCCTGGCATCGCTTCGCCTCGGCGGCCTTGGGCAGGGCGCCGGAGTACTCGAAGCCCAGGGCCCCCGCTTGGCAACTTCCCTTCCTCGCGGCCGGATCCGCAACGAGGCGCCGAGCCCAGGCGAGGGCAGCGGGTGGGGCGGGGCGCTTTTTGGTCGGGGGCGATTCGAAGTGCCCAGGCCTCTTGAGATCCAACAGTGCAACAAATTGCAAGCTCGCACCCAGAAGCACCACCTCTGATGATAGGATCTCCGTCCTTTGTGCAGGGCTGCATCATGGTGGTTTGCTCGCCGTAAATGGGCAGTTCAACGAATCCTCCTCATACCAGAGATTCCCTTTGGGAGGCCGAGGGGCCCGACGATGTTCCGCATTCGCAGAGAGTCAAACAGTGCGGGCGAGGTGGGTGCCATGTTTTGCTTTTGTTGGAGCGGGGGCTGGGGGGGGGGGGGGGGTGGCAGGCATATAAAGAAAGACAAATGATGCACACCATTAGAATAATAAACTGTAAACTCCATCCATTGTATATGGCCCTACTTAAAACGAGAGTACTAAACTATGCTGAATTAACACTTGATGTTACATGTCAACCGAAGTAGGTTCCAGAGACAAGTTATAATAACATAGTAATTCTAGTAAGTCCTGAAACAACAATCCAACAATAATGTATGATCAGAGGACAAGTATATGGGTGAACGAAAGCTAGCCTAGCCAGCCCAATCACGACATGTACGACTCAGGAGTTGCTAGCATATTAGGACTAGCAATCCTCAATTAAACGTCTCGAAATGTCTACAAAGACAGGTTCCCCAGCTGCAAACATGTGGACGAGACTATGGGAATACGCGCGTGCCGGGGGCGGCACAGGGGGAATCGAGTGGGGGGGGGGCCGGTCTTTTCAGGCATCGTGGGAAGCTCAGCTCCTCAAAAAAGAAGCTAAAGCTCATAGAACTCCCGCTAGCATAGCTAGCTTTCATGAAATGAGATTCCATTAGTAATCAAATAAATAAATAATCAACAAAGGGAAAGAACGAGACAATTGATGAATCCAGTATATATCATGTATTGCTTTTGGTTTGATAGTCATATCTCATCTGGATCACTTCTTAAGCCGCATTCACGTTAGGATTCCATGAGTGACAAATAACGGCGAGTAATCCCAGCCACACAAAGAAGAACTACATAGTGCTGAACATATTGACCACCAGAGCCACTTACACCTTCTGCCCTTAGAAAATCATCCACATTTGCTGATGTAATTCTATATTTTGTTGCGTTTAAAGTTACGGATGAGTGAAGGGAATTGGCTTGCTTCTAAGCCACGACGGACCCGGCATTGTCATAGGCCAAGCGGCGCTTCGGCGCCGTACTCCTGAGCGGAACGCGGTCGCCGCTTGCTCTCGGGACCAGGCTCTCTAAAAACGTGACTCAAGTCCGAGTCCTGGAACTCAGGGAGTGGGCAAACCACAAGGGTTCTCGAGCCCAATTGCCCAGCTCCACGCATTCGATTCGGTCGATTCGATCGATTCGATCGATGCCATTTTCGAGGTGCGGCGGCTTGGTAGCTCGGCATGTCCGCTGGCATCCAGAAGGTTTCATTCATCCAGGCACCCAGCACCAAGGAACCCAGCGGCACAGGGCAAAGGCCTAGGTTCCAATCGAATCCCTCTGGTCGAAAAAGTCATGGAGTATGTCTTCGGCCTTTTGGGCCATAAGTCCTGCGAAGGGCGTTGAGGGCACCCTAGAGGATGAACCAAAGCCAAACATGGCTCTGGGATTGCCCATGTTCAAACCTTTGGTGGAACATAGCCAGGCCTGTGGAGTTTAGGGGTTGGTGTGATGTTCAAAACCCGTTTCCATCACTGAAGTCTGCAAGAGTCCTTTCCCAGCAAAATAAAATAAATTCTACAGGGTGCGTTTCTATGTTGCTGAGGGTGGTGTTTGAAGCTTTCAATTTTCAGCTTGCCTAGCATGTCACAGAAACCGAAGCCCGCGCAAGCACGGAACATTGACCTCAAGGTAGATGGGACTTTGGCAATTCTTCGTTGGTTCCAGCCGGAAGCCAAGGGAATATTCCTAGCAATGATGTGATGGAATGGGTTTCTCACCAATCAAAGGACATGGGCTCTCTAGTTGCTGCACATGTAGACTAAGCGAAAAGCGGCTGGGGCAAAACCATTGAATTCTTGTACCTTCGTTCTCCTCCACCTTCTCTACGGTCTGGCTGGTATTGTTATGCCGTTTAAACAAACCTGGGAGCCAGTATAAATCCGCCGACACCTTTCTCCAAAGGGGAGGCGCATGGGAAGGGTTTATCTTCGTCCTTGTCTTAGTGATGATTATCGTCGCCGCTGATGTTGGTTGATGGTTCGCAGCATCCGGACCATGAGTCATACACGTTTCAAGTGTGCCGTTAGACCCGCATAACTGCTGCTCACGATGGGGATGCATAGTGATGATTATTGTCAGGATGTCGTCACGGTAACTGCTGGTGATGCTGGGGATGCGTAGTGATGATGATCATCAGGATCATCATCATCATCATCATGATCCTCATGATCATCATCCTCATGAGCTGGCTTGACATGCAGGGGGTGCAAAGCGACGTGATGATTATCATCATCACTCATCACTGATGTTGCATCCGGATCATCAGTTTTTCATATACGTTTCAAGTGTGCCGTTAGACCCGACTTGAAATGCAGAGGATGCGTAGTCATGATTGCCATGATAACTGTAATGATGATTCTCATCATGACTGCTGGCTATGCTGCGGGTGCATAGTGATGATTATCAGCATCAGTGATGTTGGGTGATGATTTGCATCATCAGGATCATCATCATTATCGTGGCGCTCTTCTGGGAATGCAGAGGATGCGTAGTCATGATTGTCATGATAACTGCTGCTGATGCTGGGGATGCATAGTGATGATTGTCATCAGGATCTTGTCACGGGTGCTGATTTGCGTCATCAGGATCAACAGCATTTTTTCCTGGCACTCTGCTTTGTTTCAGGTGTGCCGATACGTCACGAGAATTGCTGCTAATGCTCTGAGGATGCGTAGTGAGGATGCGCAGTGATGACTATCATAAGGATCAGCATCATCATCATCATCATCATCATCATCATCACCCGACTTGACATGCAGGGGATGCAAAGTGACGATTATCATCATGACTGCTGGCGATGCTGCGGATGCATAGTCACTGATGTTGGGTGATGATTTGCACCATCAGGATCATCATCATTATCGCGTGTTCATCTTTTTCATATATGTTTCAACTGTGCCGTTAGACCTGACTTGAGATGCAGAGGATGCGTAGACATGATTGTCATCACAACTGCTGGTGATACCGGGTGCTTAGTTCATCATCATTATCATCATCACCATCTGATTGCATCCCGAGGTGTTCCTAACGGCTTACTTCTCGCGAAGACGAGACGATGACGCAAAGTCCACGCCTTGCATCCACAGCAATACAACGAAGTATTGCGAACAAAAACAAGTGCCCCCAACATGGTTTTCCTGCCCGAGTTTCCATATGGGCACTTCTCTTAAATTCCAACTCAACAAGGTGCTCATTATCATGCGAATTAATCCTGCAGTAGCTTGTTTGAGATGCAGGGAATGCGTCGTCATAATTATCATCACAACTGCTGGTGATGCTAAAAATGCAAAGTAACAACTATCATCACAACTGCTGGCGCTAATGTGAATGTCATAGTTATCAGCATCCCTAATGTTGGGTAATCATTTGCATCATCAAAAGCATCATCATTAATTATCGTGGTGCTCTTCTTTTTCATATATGCTTTCAGTGTACCGTTAGACCCGACAAAACATGATAGTCATAATTGTCACAACGTCCCCTGTTAGCAAGCCGGGGTCTGCAGCAGGGCGGCAGCTCTTAAATACGTCTGGCCGTGGACAGCTACTTCTGCACCGGTCCATGGTGTCATCTTGGTTCCGGCGCCAGAAAGGCTGATCATGCAACCCCTGCTTTCCGACCTATGTTTTTGCGTTCCTTTGACTCATCTACTTTCGTCCAGGTCCAGCATGCGCTTCTGAGCCTCCCCAAACGGGATTGAACCCAAGGTTGGGCAGATCGGGACTTCTTGCGTCCATGAAAAAAAATCGAAGTGCTCAAAAGGCACAGAAGTTGTTTTGGACAAACGAACCAGCGGGGAGACGGGAGCGGGGAGATGGGGGGATTCCCTTGGCACCATTTCCCATATCAAACTTAGTCAAGAAACGGGGGAATCCTCCCGTATTCCTGGTTCCCCCTGTACTCAGATGCCCAGTGGCCAGGGGAAAATAGACAGGGATCCTTGCAATATACACCTGAACATTGCCTTGTAAATGGTGGTTTCCCCCTATCTTGCTGGAAAAACCATGTTTCAAATGGGCAAAATGTATCTTTTAAGGAGCCCTGATAAGGGCATCTTTTTCTGGTTGGTTGAGTTTAAAGGGAACCCTTGCCAAAAAAAGGAAAACGGGGCACCACTGGGCAACTGGGTGTATCCCTGCTAGTTGGTTTCGCTGATTGTTGCACATCCCCTTCGTTTGTTGGACTAACGTGTGGCGAAGGATCCAAACTCCGCCAAGCTGCCCTGGGGTGACCTCAGTCAAACCCCACGCGAACGAATCCCACGGCCACTCGACGGGAACAGCTTCACCCACCCCAAGACTCGTGCAACACAATTTGCGGAAGCCGAAAAGAATGTTCCTTATAAAAGGAAACTCCATTCGGAAACGTCACGAGTAGATTTCAACTGCAGGAAGGTAGAACAGGACACACAAACCTTTCCAGTTGCAGCAGGGGGCTCTCTATCAAAGAACTTGATGCCAATGTCAATTGCAAAGAATCGCAACTTCCCAAAAAGGCCATGAAATAAATCTCCCCACCAAAAAACAACAACTTAAACAAAAAATGACGCTTTCTGCGGCTAAGGGGGGCGAGCTGAGGCAAGGCTATTTGGACCAGCGCTGGAAACAATGAGCGCTTGGCCATGCTGGCGCTCATCCTTCCAAGTCAAAAGACTCGAAATTCGTCCCTAGAGATTGACGTGCAGCCCAAACAACTCTTTGTAGAGGAAACTCCTTTTGGAGGAAATGGACCCCTCTTTGGGGCTCCATGTGGACTCGTAGGGGAGCAAATGGCATGACCTGGGTGAGCCCTGCGAATTCACAAACCATTTGCTGAATGGCCTAAGCAAACACCTCATGAGCGAAGTTGCAATTCCCTGAACACCAAATCCGTTCCGATCGAAAGTTTGCCATCGCGATGTAACACACGGATCCCCTTTTGGATTCCATTTGCAAACCTGTGGTTGTTGTTTATCACCCTACCCGCAAATGCATGACATCCATGTGCAGCCGACTCGCTAGGGGAATCCAGTTGAGTGGCTGCCACTCAGAGCGTGCCACTCAACCATGCCAGGGGTCGAAATCCCGGCCGCCGAAACCCATTTGGGATTTTGGGCACCCAAACACAGCTCCAGTGGCCATGGGGAAACTTTGTGGTTGGGGGTGTTCGAAGGAAACACCCTAAACCAAACCCTTCCATTTGCTTAAGTCGCCCAGAAAAAAATAACATATCTTCAGTAGTGATAGATTCCCTTTAAAACCTAACAAAGGAAAATAGAAAAAAAAAAAAACAAAAACTTCCCAAAACCAAACAAATCAACACCACAACACCCCGTCGAAGCCAAGCAGCTGTCGAGCATAGGCCCAGTTGCAGCCAGCACCTTGCTGGAACTCGAACGACGGACCTACGCGCTGCGCCTGGCTTCCCAGGCCGTGCCCAGAACCCGTTCTTGAGCCACAATCAAAAAGGGCTCCCTATGTTTCCCTTGAAACATCACCTACACCAAGGGATACTCACCTTTCATGGGCCAAAAAGGTGATGTTTAAAACCACAAAAAACGGAAATGTAGGGAACCCTGTCAAAACCCGGTGCTCAAATGGTTGACCCAGAGCCATGTACAGAATAAAGAAGGCGGAATTCCGCAGCTACTTATGGTTGGCATTGTCCCTTACTAACCTTCATCTACCTAGGTTTTGATTGTGGCTCACTCGTTGCGCAAGCTCCAAAAGAACACCCGCTCCTGCCGGAAGTATGGCCCTATGGGGCACAAAGGTTGACTGACCCCCCAGCACAATCACACAGCAAACGCGTTGGCAAGGAATCCTTTTTCTCGCTTGTTTGTCACAGCGCAGCCCAGGAACAGGGGGGTATTTCCCTTTTTTGCCCCGTTGTTAGCCCCTGCGCATGTCCGATCCGTGCCCAAAATCCAAAAGAAAGCCTTCCATTTGGTTAAGACCGTTGGGAAAATGTGTACAGTAGTGATGAGCTCCTTTTAAAACCAACAAGGGAAAATCAACAAATCTTAGGCAAATGGAAGAAGCCAGGTACGTTTCCTCGGGCCAGCGGTGCTTTTTTTTTGGCGCGGCGCACTCCTCCCCGCAGAGATCCGCGCAGGTCTCGAAGTGCGCTCCAGCTGCTCCTGCGGTGAAGAGGGCCTCAGCAGCCAAGACGCGGCTTGGGGCGGTTTTCATTGACCTCAAGACACCCATAAAAACGGCGTCAGCCAAAGACAGCGAAACACCCTAAACCAAACCCTTCCATTTGCTTAAGACCTAACACGAAAAAAAAACTAGAGATTCACTTTAAAACCAACAGGGGAAAATAATTATATATGTATATCATATATATATATATATTCTTAAGCAAACGGAAGAACACCATGAAAAAACGGCGTCAGCCAAGGATCACAAAAACTTCCCAGAGGTAGTTTGTTTGCCTGTCTGCTTGCTTGGTGTGTTTGCATTTGTGCGTGTTGGCGCGTTTCTTCGATGCTGGTGTTTCTTTCTTGGTATTCCTCTACTTGTATCCTTTGTTTAGGGGCAAAAAGGACACCTGTTCCGGTTGGCCCCTTCTCAACTCGACCAGGACTTAACTCATGCTTCGGGCGCATAGGCCCGATCTCAGGAGGCTCAGTGTTCCAGGTGGTTGGTGTTCCTTTGAAATGTCGCCTTAACGGTTGAGAAACCATCGGACTCTCGTTTCCCCTCATGTGGATTCCTACTGATGGACGAAATCCTGCACCAGAAACAAAGCCACGGAAAACCAAAGTTTGTTGGACTTTACAGGGGAATCACCATGCTGGGCTGTCTGAGGTGGTGCGAAATGGATTTTGTCCATCCACAGTAGCGGGCTGAAGCAGCAAGCTGGAATACTAGGCTCCAAAACCCCAGGGGCTCATGGAACCCAGGAATTTCCCGTAGTCCCAAGATGCCCGGTGTCTGAAACCAAGCGCAAAAAGAAGATCTTCGAGTTCACCATCTGGGCATCTTGGAAATTGCCGGAGAAGGTCCAAGGCGCGTGAATGTTCAGGGACGCCTCACCTCCTGACCTGAGCGAGGTGATCAAAGAAGCAACTGCATCCAGCTCACGTCAGGATGGCGGGGGGGGGGGGGAGGGGGATCATTTTCGAACACCGATTTTGGATCATTTTCGAACACCGATGTCCTGGATCATTTTCGAACACAGAGTGGGTCATTTTCGAACACATGGGGGGGCTATCCTGCGGCACCCGTGGGGTGGGGTGGGGGGTGGGGTGGGGCAGTTACGTTCGCCTCTTACTGCGTGACCGTGCCACTGCGTACTGGGGGGGGGGGGGGGTGGGGGTGCGGTGGGGCAGTTACGTTCGCCTCTTACTGCGTGACCGTGCGACTGCATCTGGGGCTGAGGGAAGGGGGTAATTGCGATTGGCGTATTGGGGCTGGCGGGGGGGTGGGGCAGTTACGTTCGTCTCTTATTCGGGCCCGTGCAACTGCGCCCTGGGGCTGGGGGAAAAAATAGTAAAAGGAGAATTCAAAGAATTATTCTGTTACTATTTTTTCTCCATCAGCAACACAACAAACAGAAAACACAATCCAGAACAACAAGCAAACAAAATAAATAATCACAACCAGCAACAAAAATATTTAATCACAGCATACAACATTAAGTAATTCAAACAAGCATACCAACAAAACAACAAAAATAAAAACCATCAAAGAACACAAACTCAAACACACACATCAGCAAAAAGCAAAGCAACATACCAACAAAAAATATCAGAAGAGTATCAAACAAAATAAAAACAAACAGCCAAAGCACGAAAAAATCAAAAGAGCATACCAAGTCTAAACAACGCACTTTGAAAGAGGTAGGACAAACGGAAACTAAACTCCCCCTAATCCCCTAATTTTGGTTTTTCCCGTCGCATCCGCCACACGCTTCGCGCACATCGTCTTCATCAATCAGAGGCAAGTGGGTTGGGTGGGCAGGGTGTTTCTATGCATATGTACTGAATGGTGAGCTACAACTTGATTACTTGAACTCATAGCCCCTGCCGTGTCAAGCCCTTGCTATTAGCCTTCCTGTTATCCTTTGAGCTTCACCTTGCAATGGCTTCGCGCCTTCAGTTTCTTGTGAAGAATGGACTCGTCCGCCTCAACTATGTCAGGTGCGGAGAAATCCTTGACATGAATGAGCCCATTGAAGAATGGGCTAATCCCAAGGAGGTGAAGCCAACAGTTAATATGCTCAATTGCCTGCAGAAGGCTGAGCTCCTCACCATCCATTGCGCAGGTGGGCGTCCATCGGCCTGCGACATGTCCACACGGAAGGATGCCATCATTACCGACATCGTCCGCAACTGGGACGTCATCATTGATGCCATCGCTCACCGCTACAGTGAACCCCAAGAGTCAGAAAGCGAGCTTTCGGTGGATGAGACCGGCAACATCTCGCCCATGTCCGACCCTGATGCTACATATTACAATTTTTGGGAGCTCTCCGACGCCTACGTCAACGACGCCTCTGACTTTGAAGAGGACGAGCTTTGCAAGCAGTTTGATACTCAGAAGACTTCCTCCATCATCTTGAAGGTCAATGTCTTTGAGCCCAAGGGGGAAAAGAAGCTCTTCTCCCTGTTCCTCAGTGACGCCTACATCAGCTTTGCAGAGCTCAAAACCCTGATGGTGAACAAGATTTCCACCTTCAAGGGCGCTGACCCAGAGCACCATCTCCAGGAGACCGACTTCAAGCTCTCTTGCAACGGTGTGCCCGTCAGCGATGAGATGACCATTGCAAACCATCTGAGCTGGGGAAACAATGAGATTGACTTGTGCATCTCCCTTGTTCTTCGTGGGGGCGGAGGGTTGGTCATCAAGCACACGAACAAAGACAAGGGCATCATGGAGTTGAAGAAGCGTGCCAAGTTGTCAGCCCCTCCCAAGGAAGACATTGACGAAGCGGTCACCATGCCCCCGGAGTTTATCCAATATGTTGAGCACTACACTTCCAAAATCCAGCAGGTCAAAGTCCTCTTTGGTCAGGACATCCCTGTGTTGAAGTATGCCCTCAAAGCCATTTCCTCTCAGGACTTGGAAACATGCAGGGTCATCTTGAACACTCGCATTCGTGGAGGCCGTGGCGATGACAGCTATACCAAGTTCAAGCGCGCCATGTGCATCATCTACCCTCTGCTCACATCCATGGAGGAGAGCACTAAGCGCATCATGAATGACCTCAAGGACTTCCACCGGTTCTTTGTGGAGCGCTTCATTGAGACCTATGCCCAGCATGCTGATGGCATTACAAGGTTGGACACGGCGACTCTCTTGAACGAAGTCATTGCTGAGCTTGAGAACCGCCGTACCGGAGAAATTCCGCAATCCGTTCAGCAGACCTGCATCATCTGCTGATTGTCTCACTGAAAGAGCACAAACCTTGCATTTGGGGCTGTCCAAAAAGGGACAAAAACCATACACCAAAAGCGGTGTACGCATACACCAAAAGCGGTGTACGCATACACCAAAAGTGGAGTACGCATACACCAAAAGTGGTGTATGTCAAAAAGGGCACTTTTTTGCAGTGGTCAGCCCCATAATGCAATAGCTTTCCTATGTCATTGACTGCCCTCAGTCTCGTACAGCGTGTGGCGGTTTGATACACTGTTGCAAGATGTGCCAAAAAGGTTTCAAGCCAAGCCCGTATTGCACAACCGCTATTACTCTTTTGTTTTTCTCAACGCGACTTGCTTCTGCGCAGGTATTTCATTGACATCCTCAACTACACGACTGGTCTCTATCAGGTAAGGACTGGATGGGCTCGGTGTGTGGCTGGTTCTTTATTGGTGTGAGTGCGTGTGTGTTTGGGGGTCGTTAGGTTGCCCTTTCGGATTTCCCTCTGGGCGGTTTTTTGGGGTGTGGGTGTGTTTGGTTCTTTTCTGGGTGGGTGGGGGATATGTTTGATAGAATATACAAGGGGAAACTCTCGCCAATTTTTCCCTACCATGTTTGGCCATTGGCGAGAGTTTCCTGATATATCTATATGAATATTGGTGTTTTCTAAATTTGATAAACTATGGATTATCCCCTTAGAAATCAATACTTTTCAAATTTTAGAATTCCATTTTTTACTGTTTTGTCGTTGGATGAACCTAGAAATTTCAAGTTTCAAGCCCAACCCCAAACTCAAAAATCCTTAATCCGTCAAACTCACCAAGATTTCACAAATTAATTCGCTAGGTATTTTATATAGGTCGTCCTGTTTATGTATTGTTGGATTGTCACCCCATTTTTCCTTGGTGCCAGATGGAAGCCGTTGTGCTGTTTCAATATGTTTATTATTCCTGATGTTGCCACAATCCTTTTTACATAATTCTCTAGGTTTCCAAGTTGTAATGTTATTCCAGAGCCTAGTCCGTTTCCTGTAAGACATTCCATATTTACAGTAATCTACATCTTTAAAATCAAACTCATCCATAAACTCCTGATGTTTCAATAATCCAGTTTGTGGATTTCGATTACAAAATATTTAGGATTAAAATATTTGATAATCTCAATAGTTTTTAAGACAATATTATTTGCATATTCGATATTCCTAATTCCCCTAGTTTTTGCTATGCTGTATTCAGTGCATGGGGGACTACTCCAAATAAAATCAAAATGGTTCCTATCAAATTGTTTATAATCCCATTTCAAAATATCAGTATTTATATCAGCATTTTTCAAATCCAATGAAATAACATTGAAACCGAGCGACTTTGCAACAAGTCCAACACTGCCTGTTCCGCTAAACATCTCTAATAAGTTCATTATTAAAGATATTTAGATAATATTATCTATGAATAAAAATCCCTGTTTCCTCGTTAAAAACTAAACTATGTTTAGTTTTCAATGAGTAAATGCAACTTTATGAATAAAGTTGCGTTTCCTCGTCATAGTCAATTTGATAAAATGTCATAGTTGAAGCCTTCGGTTCTTTAATTTCTTTGTTATTAAGTTTGTTTAAATAAATATTTCTTTTATTTTTATATTCCCCATTGGTTCTATCTACTTCTTTACTTTGATAACTGTTTGTTAACTGGTTTCTTCTTTTCCATTTCTTGCAAGATTTCTAAAATATTCTTATTCTGTTCTAAAACCTTGTTCAGTTTTTTAACAATCTTTTCTAATCCTTCATCCATGTAAATATATACTAAATTATAAAACTAAACTTTTAAAACTAAATGTTGCAATTATGTTAAATCTACTCTTTAAATACTAATTTTTCATTATTTGTTTAACAGTTTCCTGTGTTTCCTTATCACCATTATCGGATGGAGTAACTCCCCTCCCAAAGCGAATAGCAATATTATGAACATCTGTTTCTAAGTTTAAATACTGTCTTTAGTTTTATCAATATTCATTTTCTTATCATTTCTACTTATTTTGAAACTTGTCGGAATACACGAACATTTACAGTTTCCTTTCTTTTGTATTTCTAATTCATTTTTCATTTCTAAGATTTTTTTACACATTGGACAAGCAAACTCAATAACTGATGTTTCTTTAACAATTTTTTCATCAGTTGAAGAAACAACTGGTTCAGTCTTATTCTTTTTCTTTTTTCCCATTTATATTAATATTCACATTTTTATTTTTGATATATTGTATAACAAACTTAATTAATTCTAAAACAAAATAACATATTTTTTTACATCTATTATTAGTTATAACAACTTGTTCTATATTCTCTACTTCATCTATTATATCAATATAATCTGAATAACTTCTATTCATATAAAATAATAAATATTAAATTATTTTCTAAATGTCTTTAATATTACTTTTATTATGCCTGATGTAAAACCAATTGATGAAATCAAATATGACTTTAAGCAAAGTAAGCACGAGGTCGTCCCTAAATTGCCGATGAGAGCTATGATTGTAGGTCCGTCTGGTTCTGGAAAATCAACTTTACTTGTATCAATGATACTTGATATTTATAGAGGAGCATTTGAAAGAGTTTTTATCTGGTCCCCATCTGTAAATTTGGATAGTATTTGGTTGCCTGTCAAAAAATACATTAAAGAAGGTTTGAAAGTAGATACTGATAAAGAACCGTGTTGGTGGGATGAGTTCAATGTTGAAGATTTAGAAAGAGTTATAGAAACTCAAAATAAAATAATTGAATACCAGAAAAAACAAGGAATGAAGAAGTTATTTAATATTTTGATAATTTTGGATGATGTATCTGATAATCCAGCAATAACAAGAAATAACAAATTGTTAAATTCTTTATTCTGTAGGGGACGTCATAGTGGAATATCAACGCTTGTCAGTCTTCAGAAATCATCAAGTGTCCCACCAATTATTAGAGTAAATATAAGTCATTTGTTTTATTATAAAGTTAGAAACTTCAAAGAGATAGAAATATTACAAGATGAATTATCAGCAATTGTTAGAAGTGATAATTTACTAGAAAGCAAGAAACTAATTTATAAAATATATGAGACTGCAACTGATGAACCGCATAGCTTTTTATATATTAACCTTCTCCAAAAAGACCCTAACCGTATCTTTATGAAAAACTTTTCACATTACTTGAAAATTACTAATTAAATAAATAAATATATTAATATTATATGATATTTTATGATTTACCATTAGATATTAAAAACATTGTATTATCTTATAATTTAGGTGATGTTAGATTATTAAAAATAAAAAATAATAATATTATTAAAAATTATATTAGTAAATTTAAACCAGTGTATAAGTCTTACAAATTAAAGAATTCACAGTATTTTGAAATTGATAATATCATTATGAAAAATATTATCAAAAACGGCATATCATATATTTTTAACTTAAGTGAGTTAGATAAATTACATCAAAAACATAAACCATTAAAATTATTAATTGAATATGATATATTTGTTACATCTACCTCATTTACTTTTTTTAATCATCTTCGTAATCGTACTTTAACATCAAATAATTTATTTGATATTTATTATTTTCTTAATAAAGACCTTTATAAAACTAATTTAGTGTATAGGGACAATGTGGCTAATTTTATTTCATTACAAGTGAAAAAAATAACTATTAAAGTCATCAATTAAGAAAGACAAAGTTTTATTAGTAAATCTTGTTCATATTTTTTTAATTAATAATGTTAATGAATCATAATAATATTATTAATTTAAATCAATGAAGCGTTACATAAATTCAACGCAGGTAATTTATATAATAGTTTGTCCGATTTTTGATTTTCTAACTTTTCTATTCTCGTTACACATTCTTGAATAGATTTTATTATTAAAGTATCCGCTCTCGTTTTTTCATCTACTCTTAAATTTTTGATGTCTTCCATACTGTTATTTTCTTCGTTTTTGCTTTGACCAATACCCATTATATATTATTATTTAGATTTTTCTTTTTTCAATTCCTTAATTTCTTTTTCAAGTTTATCTATTTTATCATTTAATTCTAATACTGCTTTATGAACCAACACGGGTAAAACTAAATAATTCAATCCTAAATACTCTTTATCTTTACATACAATATTTTCAAACTCTTTAGGAATTGCTTTTAATACTTCATCTGCGATATATCCTATATGAGTTTTACCCCCGTCATTTCTATCGTGTCTCTTAAACTTCTTTGGCTTAAATTTCTTAATAATATTCATACAGTTAGATTTGACATTGTCTATGTCATATTTCAACCGCGAATCAGATGAATCAACAAACGTTCCATTAATGGTTACTGTCGTTGCTGTTAAGTCTATATTAGTTCCTGTTGATGGTTCAAGTGTATTACATAACAATTTCTTCGTTCCTGCAACTGTTACATTTTCATTGAATGTTGATGAGGCATTATTTGTAAAACTTCCAGTATTTACTGTTGTTCCAAATGTCTTATCAATAGATAATAAAACTGAAGGTGTAGTTGAACTATCTGAAACTCTGAACGCCGTGTTTGACGTTCTGAATATTACATCAATTGTGGATAAATTAGTTCCATCATAATAAGTTGATATTTCACTTGTTCCCATTAAAATATCTGTTCCTGTTGTCATTGAAATATTATTCAAAAATGAAACCGTTGTTAAATCAAATGATTGAATTGTATTAGTTGCTAAAAAAGCATTTTGAACTGCCAAATTGGTATCAATAGTAACGAGTGTTCCACTGTTAGGCGCTATATGATTAGAACGAAGAGCTCCATTGGTTTTAACATAAACATCATCAGCAAATAAATTACCCATAAAATCAGCAGTAGCAGTATTAAAAGTCCATCCGCTAGTAATATTAACTGCTCCGACTATGTTAGACTGAACAGCGGGGTCTCCACAAATAAATCTAATTGAAGAATTAGCATCACTATTCCTCATATCAAAAGATGAAAAAGCACTAACATATCTATATAATTCA